TATTGTCCTATGGCGGACTAATGAATATTAATAAGTCAGAATAAATCAGGTGAGCTTGGGTATTTGTTTCTAGTTCATCGTGACTGTGCCATGGACCAGTGATGGCCTGGTGGTAGAGTTGCTGCCCGGCAAGCAGTAGATGCAGGTTCAAGTCCTGCTGGTTCCAAGATTTTTTCTGACTTGTTTTTCAATACAGATGGATCAATCGCTCTTATTTACTGGGTGTAAGCCACAAATATGTTTAAATAATGGAAGCATTACATTTATAAATGGTCTGATTTTGTTTCAACTTTCACCAGTCTGTATGATAATGTATGTTAATTCCCAATATAGTTTATTTCTTTGTACATGCACATATACACCCAATATTCAATCAGAATAATCCCAATGTGATATTTAATTAGCTTTAATTCATAAACTGTTTAAATGTGTATTTTAGTTCTCTTCCCGGATATAAACTAGATCTTCACAATACATTTTTGTCCCTTTTATCATTGAATAAAGTTCAGTATCAAATCGCAAGAGTCAAGACAAGAGGCACATATTTTGATGAGGGGAAAAGGTGAACCATTTTATGTAAACTGTATATGCATGTCGATAATTTGAATGGTAAACAGCAGAATCCCCCCTTTTTTCGATTACAGGATGTCTTGCTGGGATAATCATTTGTGTACCTTTCCAGCGGACTGAGTTTCTGTCGAATGAGAAGGACATCTTGCACCATGGGTGGATTCTGCCATCTCTATCTGCTCATGATCCTCTTGATGAGATCTGGTGATGTTGAAACCAACCCTGGACCAGACAGGTCAGTCTATATATTTGATGCTTGTTTCCTGAACTTTCTTTAATTGCAACAGTAATAACCAGTAAGGGCTTGTAACGCTCACTCATGTAACCATTTTTTCATGTTTTGAGTACTTTTGTAGATACATACAAGCTTTCTAATCTACTAAGTGTAGGGTTGACACTTTGTTTTTTTCCAGGCCAATAGTTCACAAATACTCACGCCTTTGCTAGTGTGCAACATGACTCTTTTTGTACGTAACCCTACATTTTATCACTTGAAGAAAAGAAAACAAGTGCTTGGTATTGAGACTAGGCATGACCTATAGTTCATATATATGTACTTGTTTGTTAGTTTACATGCACTCTTGGTTATCGTCAGTACCTTTGATGGGTGGGGGATCCGGCCACTGACTTTCAGGCAGAGTCGCCTTTATGAAGGCGCCCCAAATCATGGCTGGAGAAGCAGGCATGATTCTTTTGTGTCAGTGACGATTTACATGTATTTTGTTAATATCTGCGTCAACTACCATCACTGTTTGTGTTTGGAAATGGTATTTCAATGGCATGTTTTTGTTATTGTTTTTTTGTTGTTGATAAGTTTCATTTGCAATTTACATTGTCACAAAAGATAATGTCAAAATAAACACATTTTTTTCTTCTTCAATGATACAGAGACATGATTGAATGAAATGAAACATCTCATAAAATAAAATTCAGTAAGATTTCAATTATACTATACAGATACTATTCCCTTTTTTCTTATGGAATTCAAAACGGTTGAGTTTAAAGGATATTATGCGTTCTGTTTTTCTAATTGTATTACAGAAAATAGGAAGGATTTAAATAAAAGAACGATGTCTTGACATTTACATGCTAAGATAAAATATTTCAATGGCATGTTGGGTCACGTAACCCTACACTTCGTAAATCAGAAACCTTGTTCTACCCTAAACTTCTCAAAACATAACGTAATTACGTGAGAAAAGTCAGCAGTATAGAATATCAGATAGTAAAATACTTTTCTTATTATTAGGGCGTAACACCACATATACATGTATGCATGCCAATTTTTCTTCCATATTTAAGTGCACTGCTTAATGAGGTATGAGCCTTGTACGTAGGGGGCAACCCCCCGATTTGGGGGGTTTTGAGTCATGGGCTGTTTTCCCGTACCTCCCTGCACAACTTCTAGGTAAACTACCTTGAAGTTATGCTGCTGGAAGAAAAAAATTGCTGCCATGTATAACTACTGTTGAACCTTTTTAGAAACCATGTGTAAGAGGCTATATTAAAGAGAAATACATTCCCCATATGCTGATATATGGTTATCATTATATTCAAATTCAAAGTTCATTGCTTTTCTAACAAATATAAAAGATGACACTTTGATATTGGCTAAAACAGCAATTTTGGTTGCTAAGGGCTGTCTTATCCTAGAACACCTACCCCCTCCTTCCTTTGAAATGCCCCCCCCCATTAAAATCAAAATACATTTTTGATACATTAAAAATATGATCTGGATCCAGGTGTTAGTCATGATTTTCAGTCTAAATCATGAAGATAATGGATGGTGGAGTTCAGAATTCGCACCCTATCCCCTTTCTGTGCCCCCCCCCCCTCTCTCTATCTTCTAGAACAAAATTTGTGCAAAGCAATACCCGTATTCATGAAGTATATTGCAAACGAAAAAATTGTATTTTTCCAAGGAATCCTCTCTAAAATTTGATGGTCAAAATTGCATACAAACATGTTTGTCAATGTATTTTCTTCGGTCATCCGCATGCCTCATATATGGGCTTAAATTATTCGTTTTGTATAATAAATTAATTAACCAACCATGTGTAAAATAATAAAAGACTTGGATTGAAATGATAGACTGGTATCACTCTCTAAAAACTAGATACTTGAAGGTTGGAATCAGAACTTGCAGCCATAGCCGTAAAATGCGGGGTGGGGCACTGGGGGTCCAGCTCCCCTCATTATTTTGAACTCATTGGTATTTGGGCAACCGTCACCTCATATCCAGGCAGCAAGTGTTCGGTTAGATGCTTGAATAAATCTTGTCTGGTATATTTTTCATGATGAAATAACATTTTTACGTTAACGAGGTGTAAAGAGTCTTGTCAAAATATTTGAATCTTTAAAAGGAAACATACATGCCAATACCCTACCCTGCTTGTGTCTCTCGGAGTCCCTCCACTCTCCCTAGATAAACTTTGAATCTACATCAGTGAAAAGACAGTAATATGAGTGAGTCCAGTACAGTGTCTTTATTAGGAGTTGTGATTAATCCAGTTTGATCTCAAACCTACAGATTACTATATATTTGGTACACAGTAGCATCTTTATGGGACCAGGGGGAACGTGCATTTGAAGCTCTAGAGCACAAAAAGGGGCGCCAACAATTTAAAAGAGAGAAAGGATCAGCGGAGAAATGGAAGAAAACTTTTGATGCTTATGAGTACATGCCTCCCCTCAGGAAAATGGGAATGGTGCTGGTAGCTTGGGAATCACACCACTGCAAATCTCTGCAACTTTGCTATTGACAGCCCCCCCCCCCCCACAGAATGTTATTTGTGCTGTTACTAATATTCCACATATTTACAAACATCCTCCTATACCCACATACTACTTCTTTAGTTGAATTTCTAATATGGGATTCAACTTTTTCTAAACAAAATCAACTTTCAACCTTTGGAAAAAACTTTACATTTTTTAGAAGAAAAAATTGTATTTGGACTATCTTTCTAAACTCTTTGGGTGGTATTCTCGAAAGCGGCCTAAGTTAAATCAGTGGACTAAACCTGGTTTAAACCATGGACTATCTTTTTTGCTATTCTCGAAGGTGGCCTAAAGATAAGCCAGGCTTAAATACGTCATAGTTCGGCCTAACTTTAGTCCGCTCAGAGGGCAGGTTTAAATACGTCATAGTTCGGCCTAACTTTAGTCCGCTCAGAGGCCAGGTTCAAATACGTCATAGTTCGGCCTAACTTCGCGTGACGTCACGTTTTAGTTAAATCGACTGTCCGCGGAGAGTGAACGGTAAGTTTTGCATTTGAATTTCTATATTTGATCACAATTTACACTCTTTTATATGGATAAGCACTCATGAAAGTTACACCAGCTAAAAAAGTATTTTGTTTACTTTCATGTTGCTGTACTGGTGATAATCTAAAATGCTTTTAACTGAATAAATTTGGGGGAAACTTGGTAAATTTTCATTGTGTTCGCAGACCAGTCCCATACGTGCAAATAATTGTCGGTTAACATTTTTGGTTCCTGAGATTGAGCAATTTCTTACCGGGTAATTTTTTTCTTGGCACTATTGTACTTTAGTACGCATATACCACCTTAACACCACCTTAAAACTATCATTGCTAGACGTAGAAACTACTTTTATAGTGGATTTTCGAGACGCTGTTGCCTAAGTGGACTAGCACAGCTAGGCCTAGATCTAGCTGTCTCTTTTGTTCGTTAGCCTCTGATTTGGGTAGGGTCGGCCGTCGGCTAGGCTCCTCTATTTCAGGAGCCGACCCTACCCAAAACAGAGGCTAACGAACGAAAGAGACAAAAATTTCGGTCTGGTATCACCTCTGCCTGAGCTGCAGTGCTAGTTGTGGCTGTTGGTGCGATAATTTTCTACAGGATGATGATGATTTTCATTTTTTTAAAACAATATTACTAGACCTAGATCTAGATCTAAATTTCATCAATAAGAGTCTAGTCTAGACAGGTCTAATAGAAATTGAAAGGAAATTGAAAGGAAATGGACAGAAGCTTCCTTTTTTTGACCTACATTTGTTGATAATGTTACAGTAGTTTAGTCTAATAATACTATTAGTTAGTAAACTACAGAGAAAGAAAAATTAAAATATCTCATCAAATATATGCATATTTTTCATCTTGATTTTCTGCTATTTCAGGTTCTTTTCAATTGATGCATGGGGATGAAAAAAGAAGTCTTCTCCCAAGCTACGGTGTCCCGCCTTGTGAAGTCCATCTCAAGAGCCATTGCCAGGAGATTGGAGCAATACATCTCAATTCCTTCAACAAGAGAGGCAGTCCTGCAGAGTGCAGACCCAACATGAATTTTATAATTACTGCCATTTCCCTGGCGTTAATATGGTCGGTGCTATTGATTGCACCCACATAGGCGTCTCCAAGCCAGTTGGCCAATCACCAGTTATTTCCTGAACAGGAAAAATAGATACCGGTACTCCATTTTTCTTGGAAAGTCTGCTGGTGAGTAAAGCTGTAATTACGCCTAAATTTTGTAAACTAAATCATGTTTATACAATTTTTATTAAACAGATCTGCTGATTTTATGAATCTGCAGATGTGTCTACAGGTACATTATGAAGTGATTTAAAATTGTTTTTTCTGATGAATGTAGGTGCAATCTACACTCAAACTTTTATTCATTTGAAATCGGCATGAGCTAATATTTTCAGCTCGGTTGCCATGGCTACCAGTCACTCCTGACAGTGACAGCTTGGCCTAGACTTCTGGGCGGAACTATCTGAAAATAAGACACAAATAATCAACAGTTGATTAATTACTTTCAAATTTGGGTCAGAAGAAAATTCAAACCTACCACTAACAATTATGGACCATATAAGACTTAGAGACCTACAAACTGCAGTACAGTATAGTGCAGTAAATTTTCATTTTACTTTTTCCCTTTCACGAAGCTCATTTTGGGAGATAACATAAACAAAGACAATCTTTGGTCTAATGCTAGATTGAACTAAAATGGAAAAGTTGGGCTCTAACGATTAGGGCCTTGTAAAATCTCCATTCCAGGCTGCATCTAGGTTAGGCCAACTGTCGGCTGGTTATCTAAGTAAGATGTAGACATCTAGACTTGATTTTAGGAAAGGGACTAACTTGGCTATAGACTTTAACTACTTAGGGCTTTCTTAGGCCATCACATGGCAAGTACAACTTGGTGCAAGCATATTTATGAGATAGTACTGCAAGAATGTGTATGTTTGTTCTTGACTTTAAAAGAGAAACTGGTAGTCATTCTGTAAATCAATGATTACTAGTAACTGAGTGGGGAGGGGGTGCCTAGTCACTGCCTACATGAAAGGCGCCTTAAGTTTTTTTTTTAAAGTTAGAATATGATTGACACTCTAACTAAGACCAATTATCAATGAAGTAGATCTTTGGTATTTTAATGAGGTCTAAACCTTTTTATTTTAGTTTCAGGATGATGTTTTTCTTCAGTAAAATAAATGAAGGCAAATTCCCTGATAACTGAGACAAATTCAGAGAGAGGAAGGAGAACTACTGAGCTGCTGAATATCTGACAGGTAGGCTGAATAAGTTGTTGTTTGTATGCCCAGGTACTTCAAGGATGGCATTTGTTCATTCACATTTTTCAATCAATACTTTCATGTAATTGATTATGCACTCCACTTTTACCACAATGTACATGCAAGACCTTTTTAATGTTTAACAGAAATAGGTTTCAATGTGCTTCCTTTCATTCCTTTCTCTTTTCATTCAACAGACATACTTGCAAGGACTATGAAGTTCTACTTAGCCTCTTCAATGAACCAGACTCTTCAATGAACCAGACTCCATCTGCTGTAACTGTGACTGCATGGGGATCCAAACCTTTGTATTATAATCCTCATAACATGAAGCTATGGTAACAAACAAGCAACCATTGATAAAAAGCCTGATATGTCCTTGTTGTGTGTGTGAACCACAAAGCAACCATCACTCATAAGTCATAAGGATGTTTTTATGTACATCAGATGTTCATTGTTTCACTGGAAAAATTGTGATTTAGAATCATTTAAATCATGTTTTATGATGTGTTTTATAATATAGTGCAAGTCATGAAACATGGCTCAAAAGTAGACTATGCTTTGTTTTAAAAAAATGGGAAAAAGTAATGTAACAAATACATAAAATTTAATTCTAATAGTTTCAAGTAGCAGATTATGAGGCTATTGGAGCTTAATATTTGACCTTCAATTTTATAATCGTATTCATTGTGAATTACAATCTTTTCTGTTTTAAGAAAAATAAATAACTTGAACATAATTGTTGATATGTTATATACAATATTCCTTTCATATCTTTTGATTTTAAGTGTGCATACTGATGGGTTCATTGAATTATACATGGAAAAGTCTTGAAAGAGAACAGTGAGAGAACAGAGAGGGAGAGAGAGAGATAGAGTAAAAGAGAAAGGGAACCAAATGAGAAAGAACAATTTAATGGTGAGAGAAATAAACAATGATGTGAGATAGTGTGTGTGTGAGAGAGAGATGGAGATAGGGAGAAAGAGTTGGGGGGGGGGGTACAGTGCCCCCTTTTTCAAATGCCCCTTTTTATATAGGAAAGTTCCCTTTTAACTTTGTAAGAAGTGCCCCTTTTTCCATAGGAAAAGTGCCCCTTCCCCTTTTCACCTCTGATAAGTGCCCCTTTAATTTTGACACGCGCCCCTTTTCCTTTGACAAGTTTCCATTTTCCTTTGCAATAAGTGCCCCTTTTCACTTTTGAGAAGTGCCCCTTCACCTCTGATAATTGCCCTATTTAAATTTGAGAGGTGCCCCTATTAACAGAATTATTGGTGCCCCTTTTCTTTCAACAAATGCACATTTCCTTTTTTGTAAGTGCCTCTTTTTCATTCTCATAAGTGCCCCTTTTAAAATATGTTCAATGCCCCTTTTCAGGTGCGATATGTGACCCTTTTCACCTCTGATAATTTCCCTTTTAACAATGATACAATTCCAGCAAGTGCCCTTTTTGTTGGTGCTGCCCCCCGCTTTGGAAGTCGCTCCGCCGCCCCTGCACGTCATATTGCTCAAGTTGTTGAGGTGATGCATCCTCTCCACACTGCACGCATCCATTGTCTTAGCCCATTGTCTTAGTGCATTGTGACGTCGCAGCTTATACTGAGCATGTGCAGTAACTGTAACCATGGTGAATAATCCATGGACTAAGTTAGGCCAGGTTTAAACCATGGATCAGTTAGGCCACCTTTCGAGAAATGAAAATGACTTAGGTCAGAGGCCTAAGTTAAGCCTGGCCTAACTAAACCACGGACTAAGTTAGGCCAGGTTTAACTTAGGCCGCTTTCGAGAATACCACCCATAGACTGTATTTCTCTACAGTTTGTGTTAATTATGTTCACCATTTAAGGAGGAATGAATAGAAAAAACACTTGTATGTTCAAAATGGGGAACTCTACATACATGTAGGCCTACTACTCGATCGCTGAGCTCCCTTGCTATTTCCTAAGCCGGTCGCCTTGCTCTCTCGCCTTGCTCTCTCGCTTGTACAGTTACATAGATAACATTTTGGCAGGGGGAGGGGGGTGTGTGTGTGTGGCAGTTTCATTATATGCTCTCTGCGTCATAATCCATCGAATGCCATTGTCTATCCGGAGTTGTCACTTGGTTTCAAGGTAAAAAAAAATTTGGACAATGAGCATTAGGCTCCTCAGTTAAGATAAATCGCAACTTTGTATAAGACGGGGCCCAGATTTTAAAAGATAGATGTCATTTAAATGCAGTACCAAGGTGTGAGATACTGGACTGTTTAGTTTCAGAAATTGTATCCCACCTCTATATTTTCATTTTAATGAAAGCATCCTCAGCTGCTACCTGGTCTACAATGTCTCTTTTACCTTTACTTCATTGTGGAATCTGGTCAATTAGCAGCTTGTCATAGGCAGTTGTAAAGGAGATCTTATTTGAAATGATCTCATAGATGAATTTTCCTCTTCCGCTTTTCACAATGTGCTTTAAGAATCTTTGGTGTTTGCAAGATTGTGTGGAGTTTGTAACTGGTATTATCTCCTCTATTAACTCTTATCCTGCCATGAGACTGCTAGCGCGCTATTGTTATAGTGCCGTGTGCATGCGAGCGTGCTATCGATTGACTGCCACGTTCATGCTAGCGAGCCACCGCTACTCTGCTTTGTTCACGCTAGCGCGCATATGTAATAACAGTTATTGTTCATGCCCATTGCACCGTGCTGAGTGCTTTTGCAGCGCTATTGAAAGTACCATCGCGTGCATCAGATTATCGGCTTTGGATTACGCGTCTTTGTATACAACAGTCAGATTGGATTTTCTCGAGTAATTCAGCGATTTGTTTTTTTGTAAAGATTTAAATAACACGCACTTGAACCAACCTTTAAATTAACATGGTGAGTAGTAAACATACCAGAAAGAATTACATATTAAGTCTCAAATGTAAATTTAAACTCAGCAAGTAAACAAACAAAAATTAGATCGCTATATGGCTGCTGCGCTCTCATATATATAAGAGCAAAAGGGGAACGCAGCAGGCGTAGCGATCTAACTCGCGATTTGAATTTTGCTACAACTAGTATGAGTTTGCCAACTGTAGCGATCTAACTCTCTATTTGAATTTTGCTCTTATATAGGAGAGCACAGCAGCCGTAGCAATCCAACTCGCTGTTTGAATTTTGCACTTGTATACATGAGAGCGCAGCAGCCCTAGTGATGTAACTTGCCATTTGATTTCTCATTTATATAAGAGAGCGCGGCAGCTGTAGCAATCTAACTTGCTATTTGAATTTTGCTACTACGAGTAGGAGTTTGCCAACTAAGCGATCTAACTCACTACCGGTATTTGAATTTTGCATTAATATAGGAGAGCGCAGTAGCCGTAGCGAACTAATTCGCTATTTGAATTTTGCTACTATGAGTAGGAGTTTGCCAACTGTAGCAATCTAATTCGCTATTTGAATTTTGCTCTTATATAGGAGAGCGCAGCAGCCGTAGCGATCTCTAACTCGCTATAAAATACAGATTTTTCTACTATTTAATTATTAGTGAAAGTTTGTGGCAACAAATTTCTGCTCTTATATATGAGAGCACAAAATCGCTATGTTTGCAAGATTATTGTTCTCCCTCCCCCCCCTCCCTCTGATTATTACAAATCTCTTAGATCGTTAAGACCCCGTCTGCCTTATGGATCCAAACAGGGGGGGGGGGGGGTGTAGAGGCCAACGATTACCGACAAAACTAGCCACCAATTACCGACAAAATTAAATGTCCAATATCTACAAATTTAACCCTATAAACCCGGGGCCGAAGGCTAAATTATTTTCCCTATGGACTATCTATAGTACTTGCGTATGCGCAAATGGACATTTTACTCGACGACATCATTATATTAATTATTTCGTCAACTTAGTCAGCATCATAGCTATATTTTAATGCAGGCGCGGAGCTAGGATCTTATTTTAGGGAGGGGCGGTAGAGAGCAAGCGAATCACTTAAAGGGATCCGGTAACTTTGTCTCAGAATCTGAAACAAAATCCAGGATTTAGCTCATGCTGCTATGATAATTATAAACCTTTATGTCAGTCAGGAACTCCATGACTTTTACAAGCCGATCGCCTGTCTGATTATCAAGATATTTATGATTGAAATTACAAATTTTGAAAACCGTTCGCCGGACGGTTTTCATAACACTACAGTCTATTGGGGAAAACGAGTATGGTAAAACTGGTCACCCAAAGATTTTTACTTTTTTGAGGCACTTCTTGATCATTTTGAAGCGCGATTTTTTTAGGGCTTCAATATTACACCATATCACAGACACTGATAACACGTAGGGCCGTGTATCTCAGATTTAACATTGTTAAACGATCCCTTTAAAGGGCGCGCGAAACGCTCTCATTAGGGGGGGGGTGTGGTGATAGGCCTCCCGCGTGAAGCGCGGAAGCTTTAAACGTTATCTTAAATTATTATAAAAGAAAGACGATTTGCTGTACCGTTCTCGACTGTTAATCCTTATCTGAATTCAGTTCTCCCCTCCCGCGCGAAGCACGGAAGTTTAGGCGTTTCATTAAATTATTAGAGAAAGTAGACGATTCGTTGAACCGTGCTCGACTCTTAATCCTTGTCTGAATTCAATTTTTCCCCCTTCCGCGCGAAGCGCGGAAGCTTTGACATTTCATTAAATTATGAGAAAAAAAGCAGACGATTCGGTGTACTGTTCTCGACTCTTAATCCTTGTCTGAATGAAGCTTCCCCCTCCCGCGCGAAGCGCGGAAGTTTTGGCGTTTTATTAAATTATTAGAGAAAGTAGACGATTCGTTGAACCGTGCTCAACTCTTAATCCTTGAACGTTTCATTAATTTATGAGAAAAAAACAGACGATTCGGAATACTGTTTTCGATTCTTAATCCTTATCTGAATTCAGTTCTCCCCCTCCCGCGCAAAGCGCGGAACATTTTGCGTTTCATTAAATTATTAGAGAAAGTAGACGATTCGTTGAACCGTGTTCGACTCTTAATCCTTGTCTGAATGAAGCTTCTCCCTCCCGCGCGAAGCGCAGAAGTTTTGACGTTTCCTTAAATTATTAGAGAAATAAGACGATTTGTTGTACCGTTCTCGACTCGTCTAAATTAAGTTTTCCCCTTCCGCGCGAAGCGCGGAATCTTTGGCGTTTCATCACAATATAGAGAAAGGAAAACGATTCGTCGTATCGTTGTTGACTCCTAAACCTTGTTTGAACTTAGTTTCCCCGAAAATTTTAAACCTCTGATTTCTGTAGCTGATATTATAG